TTCGTTCTCTCACTTTGGTGTGAAAACACCCCCACCTAAAGAAAGTAACTGAGTGGGGTTTCCTCAGCAGAGGCTGTTTGAGGCGCTTGGTCGTATAGGAGCATTTCGCGAGGTGCGATGGAAGGATAATCAGCCGAAACCATAGACACCCATCCCGACCATACTTCGTGGGTATATAACATAATGATTGTATTATATACTGTATATATATATATATATATTGTATATATATATATATATATGTATATATTGTATTGCATAGTGATGCTATTTTCAGTAAGGGAAAGCGGACAATCAAAGGGTTGCCTGTTCGTCGAGATTGATTATTAGTTTTCAGACCTTTCATTACCAGCGGAGGTTACAGCTTTAGTGTTAGTAATGAAAATTTTGGGAACAAACTCTCAATCTCTGCGAACAAGTGGANNNTGGAAATGAATTCAGTTCACCCAGGCTACGCAGCCGATTTTCGATACTTCGCCAAATAATTTGTTATTTTGTGTTACATGCTCTTGTTCCCGTTTTGGTTCACAGATGGTTTATCGAGGCTCCGATGGTGAGTTGGTTGTCCCACAGCAGGTGATCGAACACCCGGACGGGTCACGAACCATTGTACTAGGCTCGGGAAACCAGGTACACTGTCATTGTCATCATGGTTACAATTGCGGTTGTGGCTACGGCTATGGGGATGCGGCCCTTTTGGGTTTGGCTGCCGGCACTCTCATGTGGTCCCCTTTTATGTGGTCTCCATTATTCTGGTGGTAATTGTGAACACACTGGCCACGACGTTCATCCACTTGTTGTCCCTGCAACATCACACACCGTTCCAACCTACTTGCTCTGCTCCATCAATCCGATAAACTCACCTATCTGGAATTGGTAATTGGTTTGTTCCACTTTCAACTTTCGTGCCTCTGAATAATGCATTAACACAAATGTTGTTCATTCACCAGCGCCTTTTCATCCATGGACGCATGTGCACATATTTCCACCTCTTCTGAGTCAGTGTGCAATCCACGATGTGGCTATTTTCCCCCTATGTCCACCAAATACGAATTTCTCTTTCATTCCTTTTTTTCGTTCCGTTCGTCTTTCCTACACCAATCCAAGCAAAGCACGAATATCCATTCATCCATCCATCCGTTTTTCGCTCACACTTGTCATCATCCTCATCCTCGTTGCCGAACCAGTATGCGTATCGTGATTATTCGGCATTTAGACTCCGGTTCTCGTTGCGGAACGTGTTTATTTTAATTTATTGATTTATATTTTCAAAACATGCTATTCAGCACTTCAGTCAGTCATCTCAAGGGATTATGGTTCCAATTATGACAACCGCTTCTGTGTTCTGTTCTATTCATATTTCGGATTTTATTGTCAATTTTACTATCCAATATTTCGTCTTTATTGCTCTGATATTTGTTGCTCCGACGAAATTATACCCTTTATTGATGACAAAGTTCAAATTTGCCTTTCGTGCTGCACAGTTGTTGAACTCCTGTGCACTTGTCTCGAATATTGCGTGGACGGGCTCTAACACGTGCCGATACCTTGTGACTTACGCAATCGGTCATTCAGTCCAAATAGATTAAGAGGCAGAGAAAAACAAAGAATTGACCTTATTTCTGTATACTGTTCTGGTGTTCTCGAGGTCACACCACGTGCGATGGCACGAAAAATCGATCGCACAGTGCTGTCGCTGCCTGTGTATTGTCAAAGTTGTATTGATCAAGGGTTACTTCCGATTTGGGGATACGCGTATTCATCCCAGTGGAGTCTTCGATGTGTCAACTGTCTGTCTCCCTTGTGAAACAACAAACTGCTTCACTCCGTATCCCGATTCTCATTTCGTTTAAGTTTGGTCAAAATGCCAGCCATAAATACGCTGATTGCTGAAACTGTATGGGCATCAAATGGATTCGGTTGAGCATCATAGGGTGTTGTAACCGTGCAGGATTTAACTCGATATTGGATTCTCAAAGGATAGTTTGCCGGTAACGTTTTATCCTCCAGCTAGGAACTCCGTAGGTAGTGAATCGGGCAACAGCTGAAAGCATGTAAGAAGTCGTTTCTTGAACAAAAAACATGGTTATTTATCGGAACGAGAGAGAGAGGACATAGGAATGCATATATCCGTCGATTGGTTGACCGTCAACCATCTCTTGTATGGTTGACTTTTCCGATCAGTCACCTGAGCTTACCTATCTTTGTTCTGATTGGTTGTCTCAGAACAAAGCAGTTTTCAGATCGCATGCTGTTTCCCGACACAAGGACCTATTAATTGCTCTCAACCAATCCGCATGACCCATTCTTACTTATTTGCTATCAATATGTTTATTGCACGATCAATCAATGGTTATTCGATTGACAAGGGTGTAATTTTCAACCTGGACGTACGATCGAAACGAGTGCCTTCAGCTTAGTCTGTAACGGAACAGAGAGCAACTGTAGAACGACCACCAGATTGCCTTGGGTGATCATGGTGCGAGACGCATATGTGAATTGAAAGATCGAACATATGATGCTGACGTACCAATCAGGTCGCTCACTTGACTTCTCAATGAGTTACTCCGACAACCGATGTCTGCCTCGTTCTACAGTCATCCAATTCGGATTCCACTTGTCGTTGGTGTCTTGAGCGCGTTTGTGACGTTACGTCAGAAACAATGGTTTGCACAATGTATCCATTTCGCTGCCTATACGTATACACGTGTATACTGCAGTGAGGGAGATTTTTTTAGTCAGTAATAACGACGACAAAAATGCTGATTACAACACGAGAAACGAAAGAAGGTTGGGGGGGGGGGGGTTCAAGCACAAAGGCAAAGCTAATTTGATCAACTACTCGTGTTGTTTGCACAGATCGGGTTTGTTGATTACGAATGACTAGAGCAGAATCCAGTGACTTTATGTTTTTTGTTTTGTAAATGGCGTGGAATGCGTGAGCAATCTAGCTAGCACAAGGAATGCACCATCGTGACTTCAAGGCTTCCAAAGATTGGTTTCGCTCTTGGTCAAACAGATGTGTTGTTCAGTCCTGCAAAGTGATAGACAAGCAACTGCTCATGTGTATTATTTTATGGGGTTTCGAGGACAGTTTGGTGATACCACATGATGCAGGGGTCGAATTTCGAGCGAGGTCACCGCAGTTGATCCATGGATATGCTGACTGTGATAGTTTCAATGCAACTGAAACAGCTTTGTATTACAGACAGCTCCCAGAAAAAACAACATTAAGTTTCAAAGGATAACAGTTTCTGGACCCAAGAAATCCAAACGGGGGAGGGGGGCGGTGACGTTACTGGTTTGTGGGAACATGATTGGAGAAGTTACCACCCTTGGTTATTAGAGAATTTCAAACTCCACGATGTTTCCGTGGCACAGATGGCAAAAGCCAAATAAACACATGGGTGACTTCTGCGTTATCTAAAGTTGGTTGCCCGGATGTGAACCGGAAGATGGTTTCTCAAAGGTGTTCTATTTTACTATTTATGAATAACGCCTGCCATAACAAGGCCGCAGTATTCTCCAATGACAAATTAAGTATGGCCGCCTCGAAATCGTTCTTCAATTTTACAACCAATCGGTCAGTGCATGATTTAGTCTTTTGAATGTTCGTTTCCTAACTATTTACTGGGATATGTTTGTCTTGGATCGAAGATGAGCAACTTAGCATGCAAGCCGAAGTGGATACCCTATGGACATGTATTTGGTTAAGAAAGCTTGGGTTTCTGTGCATCCGCGCGTACAGATCAACGCTTTTATAAAGCTGGGTTGAAACCCACATTAAATTAGCCGATGATTCGGTCACCAGCGCATAAATGCAATCTGATTGTAGAAGTCACCCATCATGCGTCCATTGATGAACGTCTTTTTGAAGAAATTACTTTCAGTCAATCTCTTGCTATGTCGCACCCCTGAGAAGTCGCATTTCCTAACATCTTCCCGCTTGGATGGTCTTCGTGTCTCCATGACCCTGCGAACTATACAGGATGGCTCCTCGCAGCAGCAGATCCAATCATGCCTGGAAGGTCAACGGGTAGAGGCCAGACGAAGCTCAGTCTCAAAAGGCCAGCTGCTTGGGCACCTCCTGGCTTCCTTCCTCTATCCACACCCGCCCCTGGCAAGGTCATTCCAGCAAATAAACACGTTGAGGAGCAGTTTACCGGTCGAAAAACCCCCGCTAGACGGACTTAGGAGCGGGGTACCTGGGGCTTTTTTTCGACGCTGAGAGAAGTCTTCGCACTTCATTGGACAGCTACCACCCGCCCAAGCTGGGCAGCCCCAGCCAACGTGCTATCCCGTCCACGTTCCGCTTGTCTCATTGGGTGCATGAGGCTAAGGGCCGATCCCGAAAAGCAGACCGATAATCACCGCACCAGCGAACAAAACAACTAATCGAAATTCAAAGGTCTTGCGTGACAGGTCTCCAGAAGCTCCCACACGGGGGCTTCGCTCACGCTCCCGCGTTGAATTTAAGTCCCACTGCCTTGTGGGTCAGACTTCTGAGCCAAAGGCTCCGGTTAGGGTTCACAAAGAAAAATCCGTTCATCGGTGTGGGCTACCGCGAAGTATGTCGTGCCCTAAAGTCTTAGGCACCCATTTGGGAAACTCTCCTTCCCATCTGTCTAGTTCTTCCTCTCAATCCCGAATAATACCCTACACCTGCTGTTTACAAGGCCCATCGGATATAATTCAGCACTTTACTAACATGTCCAAAACCCTGAACGGAAACTGGGAATACGGAGGAGTGCGATAGACGACTTTTAGGTATGCCTAATACGTTTTCATTAGTGCAGCTTGATCATACGTAATAGATATCAATTGGTTTCACTAGGACATTCACAGAGGGGTAACTTTAGTGTTTGAACTCCACCGACCTCATCCTATCCGCGCCAAACTGTACAAACACTCAGGATCAAAGTTAATTAGTGGTTTTCGCATCTTAACTCGCAGTAGCAACGTAGAATTAAACGGGTCACGATAAAAAGATGTTATATTAACTTCAAGGAGTCACCTCAATGACAAGATACCTCAGGTTCCCCAAATCCCCGGAGCTTTATGAATGCGCGGCACCAAAAGAGAGAAAAGGGGAAACCAACAACCGGGATCGGAACCGAGTCGTTCAGGAGTTCACAGTTCACCTAAACGCACTGGTTGTGACTGCGGTGACCAGTATGATCGAGCAATGATGCGTGAAGTGGGCACCAGGGAGGTTAGACCGTGTTCAAAATGTGTGTGATCCAATTAATTATACACCGAGCTCGGATGGAATCTTTCCGTAACATCGTCAAGCAGAGTGACAATACAAAGGGGTAGTCCAACTCGTTTTGAACCAACTGATTATTGAGGAATCAGAGAAGGCAAGACTCGTATTAGCTAAATGCAGTGCTCGCACAAGACTAGCAGGTGGTGGTGCAGTGCTTTAGTCACTACCACCGGTGTGCTTTGGTCGAACCTCGCCACCACCATGTAACTTTGAAGGTAGGCAGCTTAGCTGCCGCCCGATGCAATTCCACGCATGACCCAACGGGGCCTTATGTAGCTCATCACTCCACTACTCTCACTACTCAGGTTACCGCTTTTCATCATCGAACAGTAGGTCTTCTTGACTATGGGTTCCATCCCGTCTGCTGTTCATCACACTAGTGTAATAAAAAAGGAGTCTGTCTGAAATAGCTAAGCGACCGTTATACTAACTTGATCTTCGTAAAACAACCCGAGGATAAAATTACAAACAGTTGAAAGGTATAAACATGGGTACGGTACATTTGAATATAGTAGACTTTATGTGATGTGTAACACAGTGCCAACGAAATAAGTTATTTATTGGAGAATGCAATCCATGCCCAAAATAATGCGACGTGCACGTAACCGTAGGTGACCAAAGTTTACACAATTTACCTCTGACGTTAAAGATGATAAAGTAAAACTTACATTGATGAAATGCAACGCGGATACAGCCCGACGATGACCATACAAAGACTCGACGTGATTAAGGCGCTTCCCGTCGCCAGCGAACAACTCAACGGTGCTTTTCTCCAAACCAGCTGCCGCAAAGTCGCCAGAGGGTGAACATGCAATGCAGTGAACCATAGGTGGATTAATTGGGAGCCCGGCGGACCAGGTATTTCGGGCAGGATAAGCCGCTTGTTCCGAAGACTCCTTGATCAAAATTGTAAAAAGTACGTATTTTGTCAATGAGAAATAATTTCCCCATTCAACTCGCCGAGCTAAAAAAACAAGTTACTGTAAGTGGGCAAGCACTTGTGATATTACAAGGTGAGTGCTGCTATTCTAACTGAACCAAACTGGAAAACTGTTTCAGCTTAACTCACTTGCTGGTTGCCTGAAGTCTAATCGAGCAAAAGCATCTGCAAAGATTAGTGGCTTTTTTTCGAACGCAATCCAAGGATCTATTAGGTGTCAGTTGACCTTAACGAAGCTTGGCTCAGCTACTAATTATTGTACTAAGATAGATTCACAGATAGGCGGAAAGTAAAACCAAGGACTTGAGTGCAGGGTTAAACAACGAAAGGGCATTTAAAGGTGACAAAACATTCTTATTACACGTATTGCGCTGTCGTTGAAACATGAATACTGGTGAAAATGAGTAAAAGTTCCGTTCATCACTGCGGAAAGCCACATGTGCGTCTCCTAAGCAGTCTTTTAGACCATTAGGTCGGTAGCGCGATTGAGAATTGTATGCTATTATGCGACAAGCTCAAGGTGAAAATTTTTCAACTTTTACAGTGTATAAAGACATCTGTAAACAGTTCCAACATGAAACCAAATTCGTAGAAGTGCCACAGAATATTAAGCGTCTGACTGTCAGCAGATAAGGATTTCATTAGTGCAACACTGACACCGATTTTAGACCATGCCTGTTAGTGCCTTGAGTAAGGTTCATTCTTATTCTGCTGCGAGACTGGAAACTGACAGCTGCCTACACTTGCTAGTTTCCATGTTGATATTTCAGTCCTCAAAACTAATTCAGTCCTAATCCACCTCATCACCGTTTCGAGCTTATCCGACTGTGAACATAACGGGACAGTCGTTTGTTTAGCAAGTGCAGCAGTCATTTAAGTCATACAAGCCCCGGGGGACGAAATGGTGGTACCCAGAGGTCAGGTAGAACTGTCTCAAACCTCGGTGATCCTCGCCTATGGACGCGAACATCGTATTCCGGCGACAACACGAATGATACAGTTGAACGCAAGCTTGTATCGACCAAACCACAATACGGCAAACTGAAACGAAGCCATCAGCAGCTCTCGCGTGTAGATGCGAGTGAAATTCCAGAATGAAACTACATTAGTCCCGAATATCCCTGGTTAGTGCGTAGTTCTGGAGTCCTTCAGGGTGTTGTGCTCTCCCCCCTACCTATTTTCGACTTTTATCAGTGACTTACCCTTAATCCCACCAGCCAAGACCTTCAAGTATGCTGATGATGAGGTCGTATGTCAAGCCATCTCAAACCCATCATTTTCCGACAATTTGTTGCAAGTGCTATCATTTGCGAACTAATCCAGTCTTCTTCTAAATGCTTTGAACGCATTTATCAGTTTCAGTTTAGTTTGAACAACCATCAACCACGCATATCCGTGCGCTGGTTTTGGTCGCTATCTTTTGGCTGCCCATTTGGATGAAGAACAGAAGAACGGAAACTTGTAAGTGGAGTCGAAAAGAAAATGGAGAAGTTCAGTGGTCTAAGGTTGAAAAGAGATTGAGAAGATGCACGAATGCCACTGGCTGCGACACCCAGCCATATCACTCAGTGTCTCTAACCATCGGTTGCGATCATCCAGAGGTCCCGAGCCAGGGAGCCTAACAGGACCTATGTGACCCAGACTCCTGGTTAGGGTTTTCATACCCTGCTTGGCCACCCTCGGCTTTTTCCACTCGGTGTCTGCTTCGGCGAACTACGCTCGCCGTGGTAACCTACCTGGTGACATGCGTAACACATGTCCCGAAAAGCATAATCTATGGAGGTCGGATACCTGTTCCAGTGGACGACCGTGATTACCTAAAACTCTGCGCCTAACCTCAGCATTGCTCATCCGGCTACCCCACCAGATTTATACTCTTTCCCGATCCGATTACCCCGTGGAACCCTCAGTCATCAATACCTTACCCATCACCACAACACATACCACGAAACACCTAGGAGTCACCATAGATAGTAATCTACAGTGGTCCTCGCATGTGCTTGCTTCTGTTGGTAGACTGCATCGCTTACCTTTTCAAATACGAAAGCTCCGACATTTCCGAGTGGGGTATGAAACTGTATGTTCCTTTGTTTATCAATGCATTTTTCCTATCATACTTTATTGTTCGCCCGTTATTTTCCCTGGTCTACTTAGAAAAGACTTCATTACTCTACGTCGCGGTTTAGTTATTATCAGCCGCGTTTCTCTTATTCCCTTAAACACTGATCACAAAATTGTGTAATGTGCATATCACTTCATGCGAGAATTTCGCTCATAACATCATCAATGACCCCAGTCATCCACTAAATCTCGATTTATCTGCTTACCGTTCCCACACTTCAACCAGATCCAATTTTCGCTGCTTGCTCTCCCGCATAAACATTTATCGTAACTCAACGGTTCCCTATCTAGTTCGTATTCTCACTGACACGGTGAACATTCGTAACGAAATAATTTTAAACTTGCAAAGATGATCGCCCATTTAAGTTCTATCATTGTTGTATATTAATTTTAATTTCAGTTTTTATTCCATTGTAACGGTGAAAATAATTTTTGACTGAAATGTAGGTACAGTCGCCTGCACAAGTCATTTATGATACAACAATTAAATGGAATGCTGGAGAAAAGCTGTGCGATTTAGACCATGCTGATGAAGCCGATTGCCTGTTCGGATGTAAGGAGAAAGCGCAAAGCGGCCCTGACAGAAGTTAGAGTTCTGTAACTTCAAAGTGTAAAGTGATGCTACAAGACTGGGAGTCGTCTACCGCAACAATGTTGCTTGATGGTCAAGGTTCAGCTAGGGTGGAATGTTTCTCCTACTTAGGTAGCTGCGTGATAAACGGTGGTAGCAAAATCAATGAAGTAGCCGTCCGCATTTTCAAGGTTCGGGTAGGTTACGCAGGACTGAAACACCTTCGGTGCAGACGTGATGTTTCGTTGAAACTGAACGATCGTAGATACTGCGCCAGTATGTAGTCAGTCCTGCACTATGGTTGCGTGACTCTTAATTTGCGCGTGGAAGACATTCGTCGTGTAGGAGTCTTCGACTGCCGATGTTTGGGGAGTTGGCCGCGGGTTGGATGGAGTGAGCTTGTGAGCAACTTTGGGGTACGAAGTCGCGTATTCGGTAATGATTCGTTGTCCCATCTAATTCAGATCAGTCGAATTCGCTGGATAGGTCACGCATTGCGCATACCTGGGAATCGTCTAATCCACCGTACCTTATTCGTAGTTTTGCCTCCACGTTGTAAGAAATTACGCTGAGATCAATAGATGGCGTGGAAACGAGGCAAGAAGAATTGCATAGAGCGATTGAGTGGGTGCCTTCTGTCACCCAAGTTGGGGTCCAAAAGACTGTAACTGGTTGGAGAAACTGAAGGATATGGCAACCAACCGACAGAAAAGGCGTTCCTGAAGAAGTCAGAAGACATGAAAAAGTATGCATGCACACTCAGATTGTTCACCCTGTGTTGACAAGAGGTACACTTTTCTTTCCTCCCTCCAATTAGGCCCAAGCCCTATCCATTCCATACCTTCTCACTTAATTTGTATACATTGTGAACTTGGTAGCGATCAGTGAAGTTCACTTGTCCATATCTCGTCGTAGGATGACGATGATGACTGACATGAGGATATATATATATA